TCTTAATGGCTCCAATAAACATCTGGGGTGAGAAATCATCTGGAGAAAAGGCTTTGGCAACAGCAATCATTCCACTCATGGTTGAAGTCACAAAGCAGACACTAATAATTAGGGAAGTGTGTCTTTGTACTTGAAGTTATTACGATAGTGCCACAATGACAGATTGATTTGCATCTGTGAGATTTCAGCGGATTTGCACCCTTAAAAACCGACAAAATAATTATGTGTCATAAAAACATGTGTTTAGTACTTTTCGGAGCTTTTGTAAAATGACTGTGGCTAAAATGAAACTCATGAAGGTGTATATGTCTTTGAGTAGAGACTGAAAGCTTTAAGTGTTATTTGCTCAGATACACAGATCCAGCAGGAATGTAGATGTGTACCCCTAAAAGCTGCGAGTGCTTGATACACTTTGTGCTGAGCAAATTAACATCCGCACGCTAATGCTGGTAGTTTTGTCTGAACCAGCGACTTCAAGGTTCATCTCCAGACTGAAGGCTTTAATAAAGATACCAGGTTAATTTTTGTATTGGCACTGTGTGTCTTCAGTACTGCTAATTAGATTAAAAATCAGGTCGGAGTGGAACATGGATCACACTTTGGCTCTCGAGTACCCTTGAAAGGAGATGATGAGGATTTTAAAGGCGTAGTTCTTGCTATAAATCTTGAAGGGTTAGAACTCAGGGTGCCCTCTCTGGGCATTTGTGGGAAAATGACAGACAGAGTGCTGATGTTTGGGTTTGCGGGAGGATGAAAGATGCAGCTGAACATACTGTACCTGCCATGCCTGCCTTCTTCACTACACAGTTGTCCCAGTGATTAGCAGCTGGCAGATCTCTAAAAGGGGAGGATATCCTTGTTTGTACGGGCACAGCTGCAGATACAACAGGCCGGCGCTCCCGAAACACTGGCTAATGAATGCGGCGGCCTTTTGTGTAGCACGTTGTGTGTTTTAAACAATCCTGAGCACAATTGGGGTTTCGCTTCATCACTGTCAGGGCACGTTAGCTGTTAACGGCTGCAGCAGTTGATCTAATAGAGCTCCTTGCAGTGTGCAGGCTCTTTTCCTCCCATCGTGCAGACGTGAGTTCACATTTGAGCCGTGTTCTTTTTGACCTGAAACTTGACTGCACTTGATAGGTCAAGGCCAAAGACTCAGAGCTCAAAGCATGCGTTAAATGCGCTGTACTCTTAATTATTAGCACTGCTAATTGTGTTGGCTGTTCCCATGCTGATAGGTCAGCTTGGCATGGGATGCTGGATGGTCAGTTAGGCATATAGGCTCATCTGATTTGACAGATGGAGGAAGCAGCTGCTCTGACCGGCAGAGGGATTCAGATTGTTCACAATAGGTGTCACAAAAAAGCCCACAAGATAATGACTCAGTCCTTCTTGACTTTAAACCAGGCACCAAAGTCAATCTTGCTGGAATTTCTCCACCTTAAAGCTGATGTTGCTATGCAGCGGTTGGTGTTAAGCTGGGGTTGAACAATGCAGCTCAGCGGGGCCATAGGCAGAGCCCCTGCTAAAGAAGTTTAATCTGCTAATCCGTTCTATTTTCATGTGGGTGTGTGATTTGTCAGGCTGCTGCCTTTACACTTGACATGGGTCAGGATTACCTGGGCTCTGCACACAGGAGTCCTGCCCCATATCAAGACCCCCTCCCAGTATGTGTACTGTAGAGTAGGGGAAATCATCCACTCCCCAAAACGAAACACCCTCTACACCTTTCCCATCACTCGGCCTGCATTCCTTCACTAATGAGCCCCCCCACCACCACCTTTACCACTAACCCTCTTTGCCATCACTAAGCCTGCGGCTGCACTACAAAAAGACTTCAAAAGCTGTGCTTCGACCAGGACAAACAGTCACAAATTCATTAATATACCATCGACCAAAACATAAAAAATACGTGAGATTTTATGTAAATAGTCGACTTGCTGTGTTTTATATTGTAGCAAGGTCCAGAATAATCAGTGAAGTTAAATATTTACTAATACCTCACAGTCTCATTTGCATGTAAAGATGAGGAAACGTGCAGGTTATTTTCATGTGGTCAGCCTGCTGATTCCTGCAGTCCGAACATGAAAGTCCATCAAAGTAGAACCAGGAGTCTTTCTCAGTGACCTGCAGCCAGTCAGATGCAAATAATGGAAACGCTGACAAATGAATACATGAACTGTTTTCCTCTGACCAAACCAGTAATCGTCTGTATTCACATTAAACATGTTAGCTTTAGAGAGAGAGACATCTACACAGACAACATGAACATCATATTGAGCCATCCGCACAAGTTTTTGTACAGGCAGCAGGCTGTCGAGTATGTCAATAACACATTGTGATATATTGTGTCGCCTTTTTTAAACTGCAAAAGGTGAATTTCATCAGTATCTGGGGTTTTTCAGCTAATTTTAATCTGGGACCGTGAAGCAGACAGACTCTAGACAGCGCTGTCATTCAAACCTTTCACAGATGTCCAGCTTAACTGCGTCCAACTGATGCTAACCCTCACAAGTGTGCAGCAGTCCGTGAGATGACGAGCTGTTACAGTCACATATGGATCCACGGCCTGTGACACCTCACACTTAATGCAACAAATTCTGCTGAATTCGACTGAACGTTTACCTGGATCCAACTTTGTGAAAAAATGTCACATTAGCAAAATAAAGCTTCTCACATCTGGGGTCCAGTTGACTTGTGTCCAGTCTTATTAGTGTTTTGCCATTGAGTTGATTTAGCTGTCTTAGCTAATGTTATCTGAGGACGGCGGTGCATGAGATAAGCCGTGTTGTGACAATTCCAGTAGTCCATAAAACATCAGCATTACGCCTACACAATATAAACAGTTATGAGGTGGCTTTTGTCACATTTACAGACAAAGTAAATGTGTCATACTATAAGTCTTTGACTTACAGCTAGCTGCTGGATGTTGCATCGTGTACAACAACAAACTGATCAGGTCAGAGAGTAACTTTCCAAGCGTGCAGGTGCAACACTTTGAACACTTTAAAGACTTTCTGTGAATGTGTTTTTCAAAGATCGAAGCTTAGAAAAGAGACACTAAACTCAAAGATGTTGGCTCGTGAGGTCGGAGGATCAAATCCTCCCTCCAAGCTCAGTCATGTGAGGGCTGAACCACAGCTCATTAATGAAGAATCTCAGCAAAGTGATCCCACATGTGCACCTGTCCTGTGATTTATCGCAGACCCTAAATCTCTCTAGGGAGGGATGACAGGCGGGACCTCCTCCAACACATGGTCCCAGCAGTAATAACTTTGAAATATGGTCGGAAAAAACAATTCTGCAGAGTGAGAAACACTTTTTTAACCACAGCGAGAAAACAATTATTCGAATTTAGACGTGAAAATGCTGCAATTCATTCATTCTGCTAGTAATAAAGACGCAGATCGTAACAGTTGTCATGCATCAGCTAACAGCTTGCAGTGTGCTGTACATGTATCGCTACAGTGCCATCGATTAATTAGAAGTTAAGAGGACCCAATGCTACATACATACCTAGCTAACTTAAATAAGGTAAAATGATGAGCCTTTGCTTACTGTCATGTGCTTTAAAATTAAATGTGGGGAATCTTGGACTTTGTGTCATTTTTATATGTTTTACCGATAGCTAAACTCAGTAGCACAAAGCTGTAAATCTGAGCGAATTAGCTGATGTAATCTGACAGCTCGCAGTCCCTCTGTGTTTGCAGGCAATCTGGTGTTAACGGACATTAAGCAGAATGTCAAGCAGCTATAATGGCATGACTGAACACTGTGGAGAACTTTCTTAGTGCAACAACTGAGTGTAAATGTTTCAGTGTGAGAGCTCAGACTGCCAAGTCACCATCACCACCTGAATGTTTAATCAAATATCCAGTAAATCTGAAGGTGAACTCCAGTGTGAAAGGTTTCTCACCTCGTGTCAGCTTGCACAGCCTCAGGTTGAAAATGTCTGCTCTGGCTGCCGTATTTTGCTTCTTGTTTTTTAAGTAAGCCAAGGCCTGCCAGAGGCATTGGCATCATGCTTGGCAGCAGCATGCCAGCTGGTGATGAAGCCGAATGATTTATGTTTGTCTCAGAAGGCTTCCTGTGAGTCACAGCCGTTAAAACTCCAGAGAAGGGAAACACGCTGTTATTTTTCAAGATCAGTTTCCTTCCCTTCCTTTTGTTTCCCTGTATTAAAAAAACCATTTGTTACTCATTAAAATCCAGCAGGGATTAGACTGGATGACTGGAAAAGCTGTGGATTCCCTGGTAGAGGAAGGAACAGTAACACGCAACATTTAAAATTCAATTCAGTTTTATTTACACAGCACTAAATCACAACAACAGTCACCTCAAGACGCTTTATGTTGTAAGGTAAACCCTACAATAACACACACAGAGAAATCCCAACAACAACGTAACAACAACATCATATGACCCCCTATGAGCAGCACTTTGGCGACAGTGGGAAGGAAAAACTCCCTTTTAACAGGAAGAAACCTCCAGCAGAACCAGGCTCAGGGAGGGGCGGGGCCATCTGCTGTGATTGGTTGGGGTGAGAGAAGGAAGACAGGATAAAGACATGCTGTGGAAGAGAGACAGAGGTTAATAACAGATATGATTCAATGCAGAGAGGTCTGTTAACACATAGTGAGTGAAGAAGAAACACCCAGTGCATCATGGGAATCCCCGGCAGCCTACGTCTATTGCAGCATAACTAAGGGAGGATTCAGGGTCACCTGGTCCAGCCCTAACTATATGCTTTAGCAAAAAGGAAAGTTTGAAGCCTGATCTTGAAAGTAGAGATAGTGTCTGTCTCCTGAATCCAAAAAAGGGTGGTAGATAACAGTACCATCCAGGTCAGTAATGCAGAAGCAGCTCGCTCAAGACAGGATTAGAGATGTTTTCCACTTTGTGTATGTAAAGTACCTAATGACATATATGACACAACGCCACAGAAAATGACTCTCTTTCTTTGGCTTTGAAAAGGACATATATCACATTGTTTCTTTCAGATTTTCGGAGAGACCGAGCCTGTTCGCATGACGTCAGAAGGTTCAGACTGCCGCTGTAAGTGCATCATGCGCCCTCTGAGCAAGGATGCATGTCTGCGCTTGAAGAGTGGCAGTGTACGTGTGGAGGACTTCTACACAGTGGAGACGGTCAGCTCTGGATCAGACTGTAAGTGCTCGTGCACAGCCCCGCCATCTTCCCTCAACCCCTGTGAGAACGAGTGGAAGATGGAGAAGCTGAAGAAACAGGCCCCGGAGTTATTAAAGGTGAGATCATGCAGCATACAGTCACCGTGATTATTAGAGTCACAGCATGTGTTTGTGCAAAAACACAGTTTTCTTTAGCCTGTTTTTCCCCCACTAGGAGTCAGGAAATTCAGACACTGAAATTCCTGTTAAGTTTTGATGAAGTCATGAAGAAAGTAAATGTAATCAATGTCATTTTACAGAAAACAAAATAGCATTTATTTCAGTTATTTCAGTTTGTTTAGTTCGCAAAATGTAAAAGCAAAGCAATAACAACCATCTCTGCACAGAATCGGACAAGCAGAGGAAGCCCACTGTACCACATGAACCTAAAGGCCACTCTGACGTCTCCGGCTCCACTTGGAAGAATGAATTAACCTAATATGGTTGCACTTAGGAGTAGAGCACAAACATAAAGCACTGAGATGGATGAGAGCACTCAGGCAGAGTGATAGTAAATGCCTTTGGAGGGCACTTCAGCGATTACTGTGGTCAAACAGAAGCACATAAAGCTGTCAGCTGTGTCACGAGGAGACGATGATTAATGACGTTTCTTCTCCTTTTATCGTATGAACGAACAGCTCCAATCTATGGTGGACCTCCTCGAGGGAACGCTTTACAGCATGGATCTTTTAAAAGTCCACTCCTACATCAATAAGGTGGTGTCTCAGATGAACACCCTGGAAGAGGTAGGCAAAACCCACACTGACATATTTATAATCAAAGTCTCGGTCAGGATGCACGGGCTTGGGAATTTTGAGGATTTTGTGATTTTTTTTCTTTTTTAATCTCATGGACAGAGAAATGTGACACTAATGATCGTGTGTTGCAGACAATCAAGACAAACCTTACACGTGAGAATGAATTCGTCCGGGACAGCATGTTGAGCCTCACCAACCAGTTTAAGAGATACGAGAACTATTCCAACATTATGATGAGCATCAAGAAGGAGATCTCCAGCCTCAGCCTGCAGCTGCTGCAGAAAGACTCAGCTGAGAGCAAAGCACAGGTTAGGAACACAGTCTAAGCTTTCAGTGTGTCTTTGTGCTGCTGCCAGGACGGGTATGTGACAGACTTTAAAAACAGTACTGTGTGTTATTAGTTAAATCACAAAACTATTAAATTAAACTCAACACATGCCCGTAGTTATGTCCTTGTCAGTTCGGAGTTCTCTGGCATTACAAACTTGGATTAGCTACAATATTGGTCATAATCCAAACAAAACAAACAGTTTGGAATCTTTGTTGCGTCACATTTGTATTATTGTACTTTTACTGCTTCTGAGTGACCATGTTCAAGAAAACATTGCTGAGAAAATATTGTGCATCGTTCTTAAAGGAATTTATGGGTCTCCTCAGGGGACGTTTGCTGAAACAACACTTTAACTAGAAGCTGAAGGACGTGTGTGAATACTGCATGTAAAAGAGCTGCAAAATGTAACCACTGTTATCAGGAAGTACCAGTCAAAAGTTTGGACATCATTTTACTACTTTCTACATTGTAGATACAAACTTAAGATATCAAATATATGAAGCAAGATATGTGGAAAGAATAAATTGATAATATATAACTATAAATGGCTTATAGTTGAGATTCCTCAAAGTAGCCATCCTTTGCCTTGTTTCCATGTTTGCCTGTGTGAATCAGGCCTTCATGGTCAAATAGCTGCTGAGAAACCACGACTAAGGAAAAGCAACAAGCAGAAGATTTGTTTGGGCCAAGAAACACAAAAATGGACATTAGACCAGTGGACATCTGTGCTTTGGCCTATAAGTCCAAATTTGAGCTCTTTGGTTCCGCCCACCGTGTCTTACTGTGGCACAGAAAAGCTGAACGATGGTCTCTACAAGCACGGTTCCCACTGTGAAGCATGGAGGTGGAGGAGTGATGGTGTGGGGGGATTTATTCCAAATTGAGCGCACACTGAACCAGCATGGCTACCACAGCATCCTGCAGCCACACGCCGTCCTCTGGTTTCTTTTAGTTGGACCATCATTTATTTCTCAACAGGACAACGACCCCAAACACACCAGGCTGTGTAAGGGCTATTTGACCAAGGAGAGCGATGGAGGCCTGACCTCCACTGTCACCTGACCTAAACCCAATGTATCTCTGGGAACTCCTTCAAGACTGTTGTTAAACCATTTCAGGTGATGACCTCATGAAGCTCATCAAGAGAGCCAAGAGTGAGCAAAGCAGGAATCAAACGGCGGCTATTTTAAAGAATCTTAAATATAAAACATTTTTCATATTTCATAGTGTTGATGGCTTCAGTGAGAAAAACAATAAATGAGATGGTGTCCAAACGTTTGACTGTACGAGAGAAAGAGAGAGATACAAACATAGAGATACATTAATATGGAGGAAAAGAAGGATGCAGTAAACCTCTGAAAGAAGAGCAGTAAGATTAGTCATCAGTTATATTACGTTTACTATCATTACACCTGAAGGGTGAACTAATCAGCCACGTATAAAACACACAGGCCACTATTACTAATATCCTGACATAATGTGAATTTCTTTCCAGGCTACAAAAACCAAGGAGGCTGTAAAAATACCCAACAAAAAGAGCCCTGCTGTTAAACCTCCTCCCAAACCTCCCAAAGAAAAGGTTGTCAAGCCCAAGAAAGAGGTCATTAAACACGGGAAACTGGTAAAGCCTGATCCTACAGTCAAAACCAAGGTGGTCGGCCACCAGCCTGGCGTGGTGAGGGGCATCACGTACTACAAGGCCTCCAAAGCTGACGAGGACGAGCACAGAGGAGGTGAGGGTTTTGGTTCTCTGTACACGCTCAGAGTGTAGCGGTGTGTTGGTAGAACGCCGCCCTCCACGAGCTAAAACAAACAGCGTGTTCACACTTTAGCTGAGTTTGCTCTCCCATGTGTGTGCGATCATCTGTGTGTGATCCACTGTGGGTGTTGAAAACGATCCAAATTAGTTTCCTCAGCAATCTAATCTGACCCCACATGATACTTTCCTGGGTCAGGATCAGCCTGCAGCCAGAGTCATGGAACCAGAGCGTGTACGAGCTCCATTTGGTTTCAGCAGAAAGCCTTCCTGAGAATCTTTCAATAAGTGCGACATAAGGCTGTAATTGTGTTGCAAACTCTACACTTGAGTTAATAAAACTGGGAATCCATCACTGTGTGGCACATGTGATCCCCATAATGCAAGATTTATTCCGGTGTTGTTTCAAGCAAAGCTGTTCCAGCGAGTGTCCAATTGGATTGCTGGTGCACATTCAGCCAGCAGGAAATCCAAACCTATTAATGACAAAACACATGGAGCTGATGGAATGCTGTCTCAATGCAATGCTGCCATGTCCATGACATGCCTCTGCTTCACTTCTCACAATAACGTGAGGGGACCCTCACCAGTGCAGAGAAAACATTTCCTGACTCCTTCCAATCCTCTTTAAGTCTAGTTGAGTGAATAGGTATGCTGCGTTTGCACAGGGCACACGCACATAAGGTTGTCACACTCTGTGTTCTGCCATGTATGAGAATCTGACAGAGCCCACCCGCTCTTGTCAAATCGCTGTTCGGCTACATTTCCATAATCTGCAGCACGGATGCAGGGACCTTTATTCATCCGGGAAAGCTTGATGCTTTTTGTGCGCTCGGCACATTTGGCTACAGTGACACACGGTTTGTGTTAGCACACCTGTCAATCACAGCTTCCTTTAAACGTCACTCTTATCCAAGTGGATAACTTGAGTCACCCACTCTGCAGCTGTTATGGTGGAGGAAACTATCCATAAAGGTCAAAACCAACAAGACGAGCCCGGAGAGAATTTACAGAAGAGCAGCTGTGTTTGGCACAACGTTGCATTCAGAGTCGCAATTCTGATTGCAAAAGCTGCCAGTCACGAAAAAAGGTCAAAACCATTTTGTAAACACGTTCAGAGTGTTGTTAAATTTGCCATTTCAACACGGGGGTCTGTGGAGACGGCGTCGCCTTTGGAACCAGCGTCTCGTGACCTTCAGGAGAACCGCAGCTGTTTGCATGAAGGTTTCTCCTCTCAGTGGAACTGGTGTTCAGTGAAGTCTACATCCCTGATTGCAGCCATTCACCAACTCTCTGTGGATGGTACTCACGGTCATTAATCAGTGCTCATTTGCATATTAACTATGAAGCTGACATTGAAACCTTGTAGTAGTTCCAGACTGAGACTGATGTATGGCAATGCTTTTTCTTTAGAACGTGGCATCATGTGCCTTGGCCTTGCATATCTTCATCACCATGTCAAAGCATTTTACAGGCTCTTTTTATGCAGTGCAGTGTGTATCCCATCTGCTTTACAAACACAGATGAAGGCCCCGTCCTCGAACACTTACCCAGCATTCATTTTTTCTGAAGGATTCTGGTAATGTTCTCAGAATATTGTTGCCACTGGTGCCCATAGGCTCCATATGCTTAGAGCATGTTAAGGTCTGCTTATGTAGCACTGCTCCCCACATCTGTCTGTCAGGACCAAAGTCACTGTGTGAGGACCAGAAGGAGACTGAGTACATTTTACTAATGGCAACAGCAGTTTGAATTTATAAGGAAAGAAGCAAAACATTTGTTGTTTTTGATGAAGAACTAGAGTGTGTGTATACAGTGTGGATGGGAACTGATAAGAATTCAGCAATTTATATTCCATTATTTCTCACTTATTTTTATTCTTATTTATTCCATTTCTTATGGATTCTCTCATCGATTGGGTTCACACTGGCTTTGCTTTGACAGTCACCACCAAGCAGCACATCAAATACATCACATTTCTGCACATAATTTTCATGCACTGCAGTCAAATGTTTGTGCATTTTACAGATATTTCCCATTGTTGTTGTTATAGGAGTTGGGGTCATTATTCAAAAAGCATTATGCATTACACATATTACTTAGAACATTTAATGTAATGTAATGACATTCTCATAATTACCATTTAACAATATAAACTAATAAATGGTAAAAATGGTAAATGGCCTGTATTTATATAGCGCTTTACTAGTCCCTAAGGACCCCAAAGCACTTTACACATCCAGTCATCCACCCATTCACACACTGGTGATGGCAGCTACATTGTAGCCACAGCCACCCTGGGTCACACTGACTAATAGGCTACAATCCCAGAATCCAGCACAAACCCCTGTCCTAATGAGGACACACGCATGGTCTTTGGCTGCTCGACTGCTGGGCTGGGGTCAGCTTGGCTAGCTCTTGGCTAGCTTAGTGTTAGCATGCTGTCTGTGTAGGTGCTTGTAAAAGCTGTTAGCAGCATAATGGTGTTGTTTCTGTCATGGATGCAGTTTGCACTTTACCATTCTCATTCTCATACCACCTCTCATCCCTTTCTGCAATAAAAGTAAAAGCATGTCCATATCCACACTGTACACTGTTCCTAATTAAAATCACCTGACTGCAGCACAAGTGCAAGTGGAACCAATAAGCAGATTGATGGGCAGGCAGACTAAGACACACCGTATCAATACCATATGTACCATATAAGTTAATGCTATAACTATGAGCACAGGAAACAGCGCTGGTTACAAAGAGCAAATGTGAAACACTTTCAAAGTAAACGTCGGTGTTTTCACAAACATGTGGCTAACGAGCTATCTACTCTGTGTGGTATTACAGGTAAGGCTGGATCAGGTGACCCTGAATCATCCCCTAGTTAAGCCTCAGGTTGTGGGGGCATTTCATGTGGTCTATTGAGCACACTTTATTACTTCCTACATTTCTCAAACTCCAGCCATTATTTCAAACACCTGTCATAATGTCGTCACTGTGTTTTTGCAGGGGAACATCCGAATAAAAAAATACAAACAAAAAACTATAACAGAATTACTGCAGTTTGAATTAAATAGGCATTCTGATCTATTCTTCTCTAGCTCTCACCTTAAATACTGAACTCTCCCTCCTTTTCCACTTCTCTTTTATGAACAGTGTTCTCATCTTTAGCCATGAGAATGTGGATATTGAGAAGAATTTTTCATGGTTATTGGCTTCGCGTCTTTCTAAAGCTTCATCCGGGTGTTCTGGTAGAAATAACATAAACCGAAGGGATCTTTACCAATCACTTTATTTCAAACCGTGATTTTTGGAGTAATTAAAAGCTCTGAGGTGCCCCCTTATGGTCAAATGTATAATAATAACGAAGACATTTAATAATCCTCGATGGATCTATGATGTTTGAAACATTCATTGCCAACTGCAAGATTTTTCATAATATAATAACCCAGAAGTTATCTTTAATTGGCACCTTATCTACTTTAGTATGGGCTGTCTTTGTCTTCACACTGACAATAGTGTGCTAGTATAGTCAAGCATATGTTATTTAATGCTTGATGCTTGGTTTTTGTTTTAGTTAAGCATCAGGATTTTAACGCTCATACAGCATTTAATGATCTCTACTCTAGAACTTCAGAATAGGCACAACACTCCATCGTACCCAACAAAGAGGACTGAAACAACGGATATGGGTAGTTTTGGTTATACAGGTAAACAGTTTATTTCATATCCTGTCTCAAACAACATTATTCAGAATCATTCATACAGAATTTGCCTTTGATGTGAACTTCTGGAGCACTGCAGGCTGTTACATTTGTCCCTTTATCAACGTGCATGTGCCACGATCCATGGTTTAAAAACTCTTGGTAAAACTCAATATACCTACCTAGCCCAAAAGTAACCATCGCCAAAACAACCCAAAAAACTGTTTGTTTACAGCTATAAATAGCTAACGTCTCCTATCACCACACAGCCTGAGGGATGCCTTTCCTTGTTTTGCAGTCTCACTGGAGTCTTTATTTGCAATGAAAGCTAACTGTGGAGTTTTAGTGTTGGACGTTTTTCACAGCGTCACAGAAGTCACTATATTTAGTTACATAAAGACGAGCAAACAGTGTTAGTGTTGCTTCTTTAAGATACAAATGATTCAACTGGAAGTTAGTTATATTAGTTATATTAGTTATATTAGTTATATTAGTTATAGTTGTACTTGTGTGACTTCAAATCAGTTTGTCAGCAGCTAGCTTGCTAGTTTAGCACTCTTAAATTTATGTTTGTGTTTTCAGCTACATATTTTTATCCAGTAACATTTTACTCTTTAGACACAAATTAATGCAGTAGCAGACTGAGCCCTGACCAGTTTGGACATGCGGAGAGAATCTCCTGTGGTGTCTGGCACTGGGATATTAGCAGCAAAATATTTTGGTTCTGTGGGTTGAAGGGTGGATCGGGCTTGAACCAGAACAAGTCTGGAAACAAGCCTCGTTCCAACTGTGATCACAGGAGTGTACAGATTTAGATCCGGAGACTTTTGCCTCATATTCATGTTCAGTCTACTGCTGGTTGCAGCGTGAGGGGAACGCCACGTTCACTCAGAGTTAAATGCAATAATAAAATTAATCCAATAACTTCAACTACTTAAATGTTGTATTAATACAAAGTAAATTACTCAGTATGTAATCTATAGAAGTTTATAAAGGAATGTTTCTGTTCGATCGTGTCACTTCGTGTGCTTCTGCCCTCCATTTCAGACCATTCTGCCAAAACATACACAGTCCATCACGTCACAGAAAACCAGTCTGAGGACAGAGAAGCTGAGCTAGTCCTTGAAACTGTCGAGTCCACTGTGGCTGAACCCACTGAAACCACAGCAGCTCCAACCACTACAACTACAACCACCACCACTACCACCAGCAGCACACCTTCCACCACCTCGGTACCCACTACCGTGTCCACTCAGAGTGCACCAGCATCTGAAAGACCAGCTCCGACTATCATGCTAATGCTCGACAACTCCAATAACAACAGCCGACCCAGTCTCCACAGAGCAGGTGAGCATGCTCTGGGTTTCAGGCTTTTGACTCCAGTAACACAGACGATTATAGCAGCAGAAAATTGGGTCATTCTCTCTGCCAACACATGTCTGTGCGTGAAATTGATTTAAGCCCACGGTAATGCAAGTCACTCTCTGCCAGGCGTACACGGTGAATGTTCTGCTTATCTTACTTTCAGGAAAGATCCTCAACTGTGAGGGGACTTTAGCATCGATTGAACTGCCAGAGAAGCAGCACAGTTATGGGCGCAATGAGGGTGCCTGGATGAAGGATCCCCTGGCCAAGGATTCCAAGATCTACGTCACTAACTATTACTATGGCAACAACCTCGTGGAGTTCCGGAACCTGGACAACTTCAAACAAGGTGACAGTACTCTGTACAACACCGCCATCACTTCTATTATGCCTCTGCATCCTCAGCCCATGACTAAGCTAATAACATTTATTGTCCTGCACCTATCCGAGACCCAAAGCCTGGATAAAAAAACAGACAAATAAATTATTACTTTAATCGTGTTCTCACCTTTATGTATGCCTTAATGAGCTTGAGCAGCCACTACAATCAGGGTGAAAATAATTCTTTAGAAATGTAAAGTTAGCCATGTCTTAGTGCTGCAGTGTTCACGAACAGATACTTTTACTGCGTCTTTTAAATGATGTGATCCCAACAGGCGATCGTGGCTCAAGAGTTGGGTGTTCTTGTAATCAGAAGGTTGCCGGTTCGAGCCCCGGCTTGGACAGTCTCGGTAATTGTGTCCTTGGGCAAGACACTTCACCTGCCGCCTACTGGTGTTGGCCAGAGGGGCCGATGGCGCGATATGGCAGCCTCACTTCTGTCAGTCTGCCCCAGGGCAGCTGTGCCTCCACCAGTGTGTGAATGTGAGAGTGAATGAATAGCGGTGTTGTAAAGCGCTTTGAGGGCCCCGAAAAGCGCTATATAAATGCAATCCATTATTATTATTAACATACTTGTGTAACTGCTTTAACTAATAGCTGTTTTTTGTTCTAACATTTGTGACACTGATTCATGCTGATAATCCAATGAGCTCTGTGAGATTGATGAGATCTGTGGAATGTAGGCCGCTTGGTTGCTTCATGGCTCCAGTGGGTGGGAAAATCCACTCCTTTTACATCCAAATCAACAGAGGAATTGGATTACACTCTCTAAGAGAGTTAAGATGATCTCCCCTTTTAGGATTTGACTTGTTGATCTAGATGTGGTTGGACAATGGGCTTTCTAAACGCACTTACATGTGAGGCGTCCTGCAGCGTGGTGAGCTCAGAGCTGTGTGCGGATGACTAGGTATCTTGGTGAGTGGCGGTGATGCCTGCTGTTCCTTGACATGTGCTCTGGCCTTTCCTTTAAACTGGGCACAGCAGAGGAGGATTACGTGTATGGCCTCAGGGATGGGCCTAGTGTGTGTGCACATGTGTAGGAAGGGGAACGGGGTGGGGGACGCACTGTTTTTGTCCTTCACTGGCCCTCAGTTATCATCATTATCAAAATTAGACATGTGGTTGAAAGGTTAGGATAGCAGTTGGGGAAATTATATATGCAGCAGAGGATGTGAAAGCTAATTAGTCACTCCATTGCAACATGAAGATGTATCAGTCGGTTACATCTCTATTTTCTATACATTGTAACATATTTAATGTGTCTTCCAAAATCTCCTGTCCTGGACAATTAAAATGATAATAAAGCATACTATTGTATCTATTAAGTTCATAAATACAGAATCAAAGCTGGAATCAATTTGGAATTTATATACTGAGCAACAAAAACTCTTAAAATCATGAAATTAGATGTACTCGTTGTTACTTTAAATATAGACATGACATATGCTAATGCAGCCGAGCTCCAGTTAAGTACAACCTCAGGCGCCGGTTTAGCTCAGTGCGTTGAGCGGACGACTACACGCCATGTAGCTGTGAGCAGCCGGCCCGGGTTTGGGTCCGGCCCTTTGCTGCATGTCTGCCCCTGCTTTCCTGTCTTTTCTTCACTGAGTCTATCAAAGCTGAAAAAGGCCAAAAAAAATACAACTTCTCACCACCAGTGCATCGAGGTTAGGGTTAAAAAAACCCACCCAATGAAGTCGCTTACTTTCAATATTTCATTGTAGCTTTGGTTAAAAAGTTTTCTATTTGGATGTTCTGTGGAAAAGTCGTATAAAAAGGGCTGGACAGTAACTTAATCCAGACCCTGTGTCTGTCTGGTGAGTTACTAGCAATCTAGTAGATTTTGAGAGGTTGACTAGAAGTAAACATAACCTGTTCTTTATATATATGCAGTGCAGCAGTCTTTGAGTTTTTGGACTCGATGCAGGAAAAAGTGCTGCTCATTGGCAAAGGAGACTTAGGACTATGGTTACCTGCTAAATAAGCAAAAGCTAACGTTTGAATCTTCCCGTTTACCTCAGGGCGCTGGAGCAACCTGTTCAAACTGCCTTACAACTGGATAGGCACAGGTCACGTGGTTTACAACGGAGCTTTCTACTATAACCGGGCCTTCACCAAGAACATCATCAAGTACGACCTGAGGATGCGCTACGTGGCAGCGTGGACACAGCTGCACGATGTCGTCTATGAGGACACCACCCCCTGGAAGTGGAGGGGCCACTCCGACATTGATTTTGCAGTGGATGAAAGTGGACTGTGGGTAATCTATCCTTCTGTTGACTATGACTACAATGACCAAGAGGTGATCGTCATCAGTAAACTCGATCCAGGAGACCTGTCCTTAAAAAAGGAGACCACCTACACAACGGGCCTCAAGAGGAACTCTTATGGAAACTGCTTCATCATCTGTGGCGTTTTGTATGCTGTCAATGTGTACAACCAGAAAGAAGGTGAAGTGAGCTATGCTTATGACACCCACACCAACACTGAAGCCATCCCACGTCTGCCCTTTACCAACGAGTACTCCTTCACCACCCAGATTGACTACAACCCAAAGGAAAAGCTTTTGTACGCCTGGGACAATGGCCACCAGGTCACATATCGGGTGAACTTTGTTGACGAGTGAGTGTAGTTAGTTTGCGCTACAGATTTGCTAACAGTAGACTCGCCTGCGTGCCACCTAAATGGAAAGAAGATTCTTAGACAACCTAGAAGCAGCCATATTGGACTCAACGGGACAAAGGACGAACTTACACCAGCCTTCCAGTACGATGCACGCTATTCAAACAGCAGACCTCAAAGTGTACCAAGAAGCACATCTGCCTCCAACATGTATTGGGATATGACTGTACAATATGTTAATAGCAAGGACAGGGAACAGTGGAAATAATCTCACTAGTTCAGTTAAAGTTGACAAGAAGCTCAGAGTTGTTCACTTATCAAATGTCAGCAGGCTGGCAGGCTTTACTCCAGAGAAAGTTTCAAACAGACAGCTTTGTTTGTTTCTTCATCACACAGACACTCAAAATGAGTACATTTTGCAGCAGTGTGCATGTGCTGTGCAAGTCATTCCTCCAGTTTATTGACCGAATTCTCCACTCCTAACTCGATTACGCTGTCAAAGGTGGAAGAACATTCCTCTTGTTTTGCATGACTCATATTAACTTTGGCTAAACTTTTGTAAGGCAGTGCCAACCTATTAACCGGTGCTTTTCAACAGCTCAGAATGATGGATCATAATAGATTAGCTTAGCTTTAGTCATAAATGTTTCTTTATAAATCTTAGTATAACCTGCTCTTAAAAGCAGGCGTAGTATTTATGGTGTTATGTAGTCAGTTACATAAGTGCAGTGTGTCTCTTAGAAAACTCCAAGTAATGTCCTGATATTATTCCGGAGATCATTTTGGCATGTTTTAGAAGCAGGATAGGAACCGGTGGCGGGACATCACAGAGAGGAGGGCCCAGTAACACTTGTAGCATAAAGAATAAAATAGTTTGGCCTTCATCGGTGCCACAAGTCCAACCTGGTTAGGTATTAACTTGCTATCTATGGTAATTCACCAGTTAGCCAACAACAGATGTGCTGATGAACTTTACAATGAAAGATCAGCTTCTGCCACCAACATCTCAGCAAGTGTTTGCTATCCAAGATTCCACCACTTGTATGAAAGGGTTGTCAGGCTCTTTAGCATTTAACTCAACCAATGAGATTATTTCTGTCTCTACAGTTCTGCTTTTGTGAAATACTTTCTCTTCACTTTGCCATCTTATCCATCCCGAGACCGAGCGCTTTGATCGTGACTCCACTTTGACTGTCGGTCCGACTTCACGGTGCTTCCTGTCTCTTTGATGTTGTTTTGAGGGATGTGTCAAATATGAAAGATAAAACAAATAATGTACACAAAGTGTTTTGTATATATTTTCAGGAGTGTGTTTGACAATAGCATACCGCTTTCTCTTTCCATGGATCTGGTTACATTTCTGTATAAAAGAAATATGAAGCTTTACTCACTTTAATGACAACTCTATGACCACTATTGAGTATTTTTTTTATAACAGTGGAAAGGAATAAGTGTGATCAGTCACCATTAGCTGTGCCGTCTTCATTAAAACATGAATGTTTTGTCTTTTGTTTGTTTTGACAACATATACTGAGGATTATAAGCTTTAAAGCCCATGAGGTAACTCTTTATAGAAGATTGCGTTCGTGTTTGCTTCATCTCGGAGCTCTGCAAGTTCAGTCATAACCGTAATGCCATTTGCAGTGATTAGTTCAAGTCTTTATACAGATATGTTATGCAACATGAACATAGCACTTACAACCTGCTGTGTGTGTCTTTGCCATGAAATAAAATTTCCATTATAACCGTTTGTTGTAAACCTCATAAATCCCTCCACAGCGACCAGTTAAACCCCACGGCAGGACTCGCCCCTCCCTCTGCACCTCCTCTTGAAGGCTGATGACCACCAGTGACTCAGATCTGGAGAACTCTGATTTCTGGAGAACATCGCTCTCATGAGCTGTGCTTAGTTCTTGGGTAAAGTTCACCATGCTGCACTTGATCTGAAGTCCCAAAATACAGCATAAGGAGCCCCAGGTCATGGTAATAAGGGCCTGCTGTCTGCATCTTGGCTGCAGATTTAAACATTTCCAATTCGAGCTCCACGTCATGCAATTCTAGAGGGAGACACAGAAATAAACTGAACTGAATGATGGGTGTGGTACTTTCATGCATGTGGTCCTCATTTTGTTGGTGAACTCAGATGTTCATTTTTACGCCCGTATAGCGAGGTTCATTAACGGGTGTAAGAAAAGCCTGCAGCTTTGATGAGTACGGCACTAATAGTGTGTCCAGTCCTGAACTCTGAACAAATCTGAACATGTTGTGATGGAATAATGATGTCCACACATGCTGTAGTGATGAATGCTGACAATTTGAAATCAGGATAAATCTTGACTTGCTCCTGCTCATGTCAGCCTCCCGATTATTAGCATCATGTAGCATCGTGGCGTTACGGTACCTCTACTAGAAAACCTTTGGTCTCCTATGTTGCACTGTGGAGCCAGACATTATACTATTGAGCAATAACATTAATGTGGATGGGTGGAATTGATTTCATTTAAGGTGGCACTCCCCCTTACAGGCCTCCACTGTACCGCGGCCTTTCTTCACTAAGAGGAACTTCCTTTGCGTGATTCAAGCACATTTAAAGATACACACCCAGCCCTGCAACAATTTATCTGGACCTCTGTGTAAACATAAAGGCATACACATCCATGCATAACTCAGCTGAACACGCCTGAGAGTGTAGAAGACAAACATATAAACTCTGGCGTTAATCTTTAGTCCTAGAATAACACCATACCCTCAAATTCAAAGGTATAAAGCAAAACTCTTCGTGATGACAGACTGAATCAGTCCAAATGCATTAGCAGCAGGGATGTGTTTGATAATGTAGTCCAACCCAAGCAGACGAATCTTCACCCTGTGCATTCAACAAACATGTTTTCTTTTTTTGAATTTTCATGTTTGGGACACAAAAAGCTTTTACCGAAATAAAAACTGTCCAACTCCGGCTTTGTTCTGCTGATGATTAGAAGACGAGAGAATAAACGACGGGATGGTTGGCGAGCTGTGGATTTGTGATTTGCACACAATAGTATGGCTGCGTCTTCTTCCAAAAAGAAATGTAGATCCCTGCCATGTGACAGATCTTTCAAGTTAAGCTTTAAGTTATTAGCAGAAGACAGAAAAGTTAAAGTATGCAACATATTGCAAACACATTCGTGCTCAAAATAAAGTGTAAACGGAAATAGGACTCACGACTGCTCAAGTGTAAAGAACGGCAATGTGTCTTCAATTAAAACCCTTTTGGGTTATTTCCTGTAGCAGAAAGAAAAGGTCAGCGGAACAGGATGTAAGAGCAGAGAGGGGACAGTGAGTATGTGGCACCAGCCTTTCTAGAGATGCACTGAAATGTGTAATGAATCAGTCCTCTTTCTATCCCCCAAGCTTCATGAAATCCTCTTTAATACTGAGTAACCATCCAATTATGAAGCACTTCTCTGAGCTCGTCTAAGAGAACTGGCACACACTCAATAATGTCCCATGTTCTCTGCAAAGGGGGGCTTCCCTGAGGTTTAGGCAGTGAGAAGCACACCAAAGAAGGCCATTGTGTTACACACAATGAAGGCCTTTGGAAACTATGGAGGAGGAAAGGTTGTGTCAGGACCTCGCATCAACATTTTGTAGGCGAAACACAGACAAAGATGTTCTGAAACACCCACTGATTTTGGCATGTGAGGATGATGACTAGATAACAGGTAGTCTGGCACACACAGAGATAAATAAAAGAAACAAACGGAGCTGTCGAGTCCCTTTCCAAATCTATCAAACGTCTCTGGCAAGGAAAGAAGCCCAATCTGTTGGTTGTGTGAGGGGAGTATGCATCTGTCAGTAATCAGGAACAACAGAGCTGTGCAGCATCCGGACTTTAATAAATCACTGAAGTAATATTACATAAATAAGAAGATAAAGTGAACATTTAGCAATGTCTTGCTTCATATTCATTATTGTGCATTAAAGCGAGCTGTACAGTCAGCATGTTGCCAAAGCCTCTTGGAGATCAGGGCATGTGTGTGCCAGATCTTTCTAGTCCGACTGCGTACATTTACATTCTTGGTTTCTAGAATTTGTTTTCTTTGTATCTGTTCAATGAGCTCAAGCTCGAGTTTAATCTCATAACACCCAAGATACATTTTAATACCCCGCCTAGACTTAGGGTAGGATTTTACCAATGACGAGAACGTGGACCCAAAGAGGCAGAACGAGACACGGACAGGCTGACACGCCAAACACAGAAACTATTTAGAAAAAGTCTCACAGGGAAATGTTTGTGTGGGACAGAACTATAGAGCTGAAACTATTCACGGGAGGGAGGAAACATGTAACACAGGCGTAGGGCTTCTGGAATGGAAAGAGAGAACGATTAGCTGAGAAGGGGAAACTGGGGTGAGGATGAACTAAATAACCTAACACCAAGTGACTTATTTTAAAAGTAGGTGGAGAGCGTCCCGGGAGTGGAACGGCTGCAGGTGGCTGGGTGAGCATCCTTGACGACTGTGCAGGAATTGAGAGATGGACCTGGGAATGTCCAACAGCCCAAGACGAGGGAGGCGGGAGGGCAGGCAGGTGAGCAGAGTGAAGCTGAGCATGTGTCCAGGATCCAAATATCCAGAGAGACGGAAATGTTTCCGTAGCAACACTAGAGGCACAGGCAGAAACAAGACGAGACATAAAAAACAAAGAATGCAAGAACCAGAGTGAGCTAACTGGTACTAACTGGTCAGCAGACAAACTGTTGGAAGGCAGATAAGCTGCTGGCCTTCAACACTGGCTGGTGATGGCTGGACTGCTGTTAGGTGAGCCCACCAGGTGTGTTGATGAGAGCCCAAAGGCGGGGCTGCGAGTGAAAACAAGGAAAAAACACAGCCACTCACCCAGCCTGACACCTTCCAGCCTTTTTCATCGGGGTGGAGACAAAACGTCTGTGAACTCATATGAAGTGTCACTTGTTTATCAATTCCTAAAACAAACTGACTAAAGAGCCCACGGTAACAGAGTCTGAGCCCGTCACGGTCAGTCGCACTTACTGTTTATATCAGAGTTTATTAGTTCACTGTACTTCTCCCTGTCTTCCTTTTGTAGCCACATTTCCCTGTTTGTTTATCGTTCTGTAACTTCTGTTGTCCTTTGCCAGTTAGTTTTCTTCCCTCGTGTCTTTCCTTCAGACTTGGTCCGAGCGTCTCTCAGCCTCCCTGCCAGTGATGAATGGCAGGCTTTGTGAAAAACTGAAACATCGGAATCAACTGTGCAGAATTGCATCAAGGATTCAAAGCAATCTCACACCCACTTGTTGGAAACTGATGCTGTCATCACATTTCAATAACGCTACTTTGTGTAATAATAACAAAGACAAATGTTGCACAATTCTAAACAAAGCAATATTTATACCTGACTAAAGATAAGAAGAAATGAGAAAAACAGCTATGAACAAGGTAATAAAAAAGGAAAATGAACAATGTGCTTTAGTAGATGAGGCTCAGAAAAACTATTCATAAAACAAGTTGAACAAAAGCTGCTGTAGTTCTTAAATTAGGCTGAACCGGCTTCATTTCTGTTAATTATTGTCCCAGCCTTGAAAAACAACCCTCAAAGATTTGCAGCATTGCAGAAATCTGAAAGTGACTATTGTTGTGCTCCTGGAGTTATATTTATATTTATATTTACCAACAGTAAAACCAATCACTTATACACAAAACATTTCAGCCACACTACTTAAAACAGTTCGTTTTACATTGTTTTAGTTTGTTGATTATGTAGATGTTTCATTTAGGAGAACAAAAGTCCCTAAAATTACTCTGGTTTACAGAAACCACAGAATTACTGTAGTGTGCTCCTCTCTAAATGAAGTCAGGACTCTGTGCAGGGCAGTCAAGCTCATCCACACCAAACTTGCTTAACTATGTCTTTGTGCACTGTTGCACAGTCATGCTGGACCAGGAAGTAGCCATCCCCAAACTGTTCACTCAAATTGAAATGTGACAAATGTCTTTGTATGCTGAAGCATTAAGAATTCCTTGCACTGGAACTAAGGAGCCAAGCCCAACTTTGGAAAAACAACCATAATCCACCAAACCTTACAAGTACCTGTCTCCACTGCTCCAGAGTCCAGTGACAGTGTGCTTTACACCACTGCATCCGACACTTTGCATTACGCTTGGTGATGCACGGCTTGGATGCAGCTGCTCGGCCATGGGAACCGATTGCATGAAGCTCTTTACTCACATGAAGCTCGGAGGTCTGCAGCAACTGACTCTGCAGAAAGTTGCTCTGTGCACTATGCACCTGCTGACCCTGCTCTTTGGTTTTATGTGGCCTACCACATTGTGGCTGAGTTGCTGTCATTCCCTGTAATATAACTATTATATAACCACATGTTTATTTGGCTTAAATGTTACTGAGATTAAAAATGATATTTCTGAGACTAGAAGAAGGCAGCAGACATTTACATTTTAGATCCACACCAGAAAACTCCTGATTATGTTAATCTGACCAAGAA